CCCGGGGGAACCAGGACCAGAGGGTTCTGGGTTGGAGTCCCGGGGGGAACCAGGACCAGAGGGTTCTGGGTTGGAGTCCCCGGGGGAACCAGGACCTTTCTGGGTGGTTTTGCATGTTCTCCTGTGTCTGTGGGTTCTCTCCGGGTTCTCCGGCTTCCTCCCACCCTCCAAAAACCTGCATGTTAGGTTGTTGGACTCCAAACTGCCCTTAGTGTGAGTGTGTGTGGTTGTTGGTCCTTGTGTGTCTCTGTGTGTCCCTGTGATGGACTGGGGACCGTCCAGGGGGACCCCGCCTCTCGCCCGTTGACCACTGGGATAGGCTCCAGTTCCCCCCGCGACCCCATCAGGGAATAAGCGGCATTGATAATGGATGGATGGATGGATTTGACTTGAATTTCATGTCCTAAATGATGAATCGTGCGTCCTTGTTTCCATCATGTTGTTGCCTTAAAGCCACAATCCTTTTACTGCAAATGGCCCAAGCCGTTAAAGATTCAGTTTAATGAGACACGCTGACCGGTGGACGCTTGTTTGTCCCCCCCTAAAGGCCCCAAAACATCCTGGAAGCGTCATGATCTTAACGCTCTTAATTCTGTACGCCGAGCGAGCATTCCTCTATTTATAGCATGTCTCATTTCTTGATCCAATTTAGGTTTAATTTCATCTGCGAGCTCCTCCAGACAGAAAACCGTCACTGAGCCAGAGCAGGGTTTTTCTGCCTTTAGGGCCCGGTTTCACACCAGCACATGGGAGGAAATTTGTGGTGGAGTTTGTGTTACGTTGATCAGAGTCTGTGAACTGTTCCCAAAGTCGAAGTAAACCACAAGTTACTGTCACTTTTTTTGACAACAACCTGCCTCGTATCTGCTTTTTTTGCCTCCTGGAGAGTTTGGGGCTCTTAAAAGGGCTCAAAGGGCTCTTTGTGTGTTGTTGTTTGAACTTTTCATGGATTCGATTTTGTATTTTATAATCCACCCAGCTTTTTAAAAAATGTCTTAAAATCTCTGTAAAGATTACATTTGTTTCAAAGCAAAAAAGTTGTCCCCGAAAACAGCAGCTTTTCCTGAGCTGTCAAGAAAACAGTCAAAAAGTGTCTCATATTTAGATTTGTTGGGAAAACAATGTCAACCAGAATACATATTTACTTTTTTTTGGGCTCTTTTAAATGTTCAGCATCCTTTAGACATAGACAAAACTTTTGTGTTGGGTTTGGAGGAGTAAAAATGTACATTTCCTCTAAAAAAAAACTCCCACCAGCCATCAGCCTTTATTTTGTTTTTTGAGCTGTAAAACACCATTTCTGTCAGCGCCACCCCTGAACCCCAATGCAGTTTTCTATTAGGTCTCCCATTGCAAAACCATTCCTGAGCGTGCCCGGCTGGTTATGAGAGTACAATCCAGAGCCGTGTGGATTTGAAAGTGTGTTTGGTGCTTGAAATAGGTCTACCGTGTCTGTAAACACACAGAAAACAGCAACATTTGTCCCACACGCCTCGTAACGCCGTCTCTCTTTTTTTCTTTTGGTCGTTTTCCTGCATTGCTTAAAATCAAATTGCTTAAAATTGTTGATGTCAAACACACCAGGAAGTCGAGCTGCGATCGGAATATTTTTCAGTTCGATAACAGTCGCCTTGGGTTTAATTTTACCACTAAGAAGTTAATAGTAAAAGCCTCAAGTTTACCACAAATGTTTTAGAGTCTGTCAGTCGTTTGATTAGAAAAGAGAAAGTCATCATGGCTGCTGGGAGCTAAACTGAAGCTGCTAATAGATACGTGGTGCAGCAGATGGAATAATGCAGATTCTCTCTGGGAGTCTTTTGGTTCTGGTTTCCTCTTTAACAGATTTTACAGCTAACCACCAGAATCAAAGCACACCTGACTAGCAAAGGTGATGGTTAGGACTGATAAATGTGTTTGTTCCCAGGTTAGATGTGTTAACCCGATTCTTTAGTTGGAAACCTGAGAAAAAACCAGAGTGGATCAAAAGTATAAAAAAATGACATTTATTGGGTCACAGTTAAGTGTATCAGCTGGGCTCTGACAGACTAAAACCTCTCTCTAGAGGTCCTACTGGCCAGTTACCTCTGGGCATAAACAGGCCAGGTCCTAATTCATGCAGATGACATTGGAATGTGGTAACAAATGGTGTGTGTTTGAGTTGACCTAAAGGTGGATCTAATGCAACAGAGAAAGAAAAAGAGAGAAAAGAGAGTCAGAGCCAGAGACTTCAACACAAAATATAGTTATAAAAGAAAAGAAAACAATCAGTAATTTACATGGATTAGGTGATAGCATACAATGCTAAAGTGAGTAATTATAGCCCAATTCTAAAAGATAGAAACGAGGATTCCTCCAAATACTAGTATTTTACACAGC